CCGTCTGCTAGTTTACCGGATTATGCCATAAAAAAATATCTAATTCTTGATTAATCCCAAAGAAGAATGATCCATTTTATCTGTTAACAAATATCAGCTGTCCAAATACTAATAACAAATCACAGTAGCGATGGGATTTGACAGCTACTTAGTCCATTTTTGGGTAGATCAGCATTCGACGAACTGCGGGTTAGATGTATAGACAAGCTGTCACTCAGCGCGATGAGTGAGACCCGACGTGATGGCGCAGGATGTAGGTACTGTGGAGTTCTATTTGTACTTTAAAAATTACTAAAAATATTCAAATATAGTATGGTGTAAAAATAATACCGTGTAATATTTTCCAAAGAGTTAGACAGTAGTCTATTTCCTGCACGTTCACTTCCGAGGTGTTATTATGATATGTAAAAGTATATCTCATTAGCGAGACTATGTTTCCTTTACTGGGATCATCTATTAGGTAAATCGAACTTGTAACCTTGGACCTTGATATCCCACTAACGACCACTTGATTAACTGAACGATCAATTAATAAAGATAATAAAGTATTGTTTTGTTGGATCTATTGTAAAACTCAATAGACGTGACAATATTTCACAACAAGACTGGTCTTCAGCGGTTACCGTCCCAATATTAGATTAAGTGTCTACCCCAATCTATTTGGACAAAAAATAAAGTATCAATTTGGAGTAAAAATATAGGCAATATAAAAGACGCTCTATTGAAACTGAAAATTGGTATGGCTCAAAAATTGCGATAGGTTTTTGCTCTATCACAGTGGGGCGTAACATTGTTACTGGTGTACGGAAGGAACACAATACATATGTATGTGTACATAGTAGATAGTAGCCACGTATGTATATAACAGTTTAGGTACTCGTGCGACTAAATTCACTGACCTTTTTTAATTCGGAGCAGATGAAAGACTTTGTTCATGATTACAAAAAACAAAGCACGTGTTGTTTTTTTATTTACCTGAGCTTTGTAGTTTTAGACTCTTGTATGATGCATGTTACTCGATATAGTTGTGAGTAGGAATTTACATTATCAAGAGGTAAGTACAATATTTTGAGAGACACATAAATATAATCTAAATAACATAGTATTTACTATGTTATTTAGATTATATTTATGTGTCCTGTCCTGTCCTGTCCTGTCCCTTATGTGACCTACTACAAAACATATTAATATGATGATTAAATTAATAGGTCACTAAGTATTTTTTTACTGATTATAATTTTTGTCATAAATATTTTTTTACATATTATTCTCTTATCTATTCATAATTCTATATTAGTAATCGACTTCGGCATAGGAGACCATTTTAGGCGCAGTTTTTTATCCGGAAACATTTTCATTTTGTATTGACAGCCGCGTTGAATCAACTTGTGGAAACATGTCCAACATGTTCAGAAGTTTCAAGAAACGTGGCAAGAAAGTCAAGATACGGCAAAGTTGTGTGAACTCGTAATAAAATAAAGTTAACCGCTGACGTCGAAGCCGCGGCGTAGCAGTTTAGCGCCTTGTCGCTCTACTGCGGAATCTTATGACCCACTGATGACTAGCTTTTTACCTGTAAATAACCTAGTTTGACAAGAGTACCCACTCTTACAACGGCGTAATCCTTTCAAAAGTTTTCCCTAACTAACACTAACTTCACAATTTATTTTATCTTTGTTTCCTCGGTCGCTCGGAGATCGAATAAGGCCTGCTTAAAACTTTCCGAATTCATCTCTTATCCGAACTCCGGTAGTCAGCGTGGAGATTAGGCTAGTTGGTATTGATTTTCACAATTAAAGGGGTTGTCTTTTGACAAACATTGATGAATATTGGATTTAACAAAAGCGTATTTCATGAATTGTTACCAGTTATTTGCATTGATAACAATCTTGCAGGTCAACAGATAAATTGTTAAAATGATTTCTCATTTCAATAATGTTGATCATAATCGTTAAATACTTACACACAATGAAATAGAAACAACAGTAAATTAATAAAACTTCATATTAACTTCAAAGGACCTATTTCATACGAATGTCCCTTGAAATATCGTGGAGCTCTCACATTTTTCAAGACAATCATCTATTCAGTGAGCCATGAATGGACCAATAAAATGAAGTGTCAAAGAAAGGCGCAGTGTCTTGCTGACGTATCGGCGTCGAGTGAGGGGTCGCACTCCTAAGCTATTTCTCTAACACTGACAATCGAACTATTGCGACATACTACGGAAAAGGAGACCATTAATATTAGCCACTCATACCGCCGACGAACATTTTGTGATTTACTGCCTCCGAACTGAGCGAGCTAACACGGCTTACTGTTACAAACACCGCTTCGTTATTTTACATATTTATTCATGTTACTAAGTTAACAACACGAGAACTTCCGCATACACTTTAAGTGTAAATCTCACAAAATATACTGTCGTAAGCAGGTTAGGATACGAGACATTATTAATTATTTCCATTTATACATAAAAAGTAAGTATAAAGCAAAATAAATGTTAACATTGGAATAAAATAAATAGTAAAAGTTCGAACAAAAAGTTAATGGAAGCTCAACTGGTTTTGAAAGCGGTGGGACAATTTAATTATAAAACTAAGTTAATTTTAAAACGAAACCAACTGTTTAATCGGAATTCCGACCTAGTAAGAGTGCCTAACAATAAAATTCAACAAAAGCTTGGTTTTATTTAAAACTTCTACAGCAGATTGAGTAAAACTTTGTGGGAAAAAGCTATAACAACGAACATCTGCACTTGAATTTTTTTATATTAAAGAGTTGTCCCACGATAGGATTACCGTATTTCGCGAATGTGTTTACAAACACAAGTTCTGCGGAACAAACCAGAAACAAAGTTGGCAATTTATACAAACAGTTGTTCACTACGAGAATCGAATCTACAGAGTACAACGCACAAAGCTAGTCACTCATTGTACCGATTGTACAAACCGTTTTAGCGAATTCATAACAATTTATGAATTCGTGTTTGACGTTATCGCAATTGTTTGAACATTTATCTTTGTATACAATTGTAATAGTACGAGGCAGTACAAAGAAACATTTAATACTGATTCCTTTTTACTCCGAGCCGCATTACTCACACGAGTTTCTCAAGAAAAACTTCCATTGTGCTAGATTATACAGATAACGAAGAGATAGTATGGATAAAAGCTTCCAAGTCACTTTCATAAGACAAACAACGGTTTTTGCTAAGAATCTGAATCAAGTGTGCTTATTTATAAAGCCCATATTTTACAATAAATCATAATATACGCAAAAAGAAATAAAAGATATGAAACACAAGAGTCATGCTACTAAAATACACATTTGTCTGAGATATATTTAACTACTTTACACACTTTACACAAGTTTCAAACGTTACCAACCTGGATCCCATAAACAACGGGGCGGAGTGGAGCGCCGGTAACGTGGCAATTAGTTAGACAGCTTGCCAAACAAGCCCGGGCTTGCAGCCTGCCGCTTGGATGTTTGCCTGCATCTCACACGCTCCCCGCAACCTATGAATCTAGGTGACTCGAATTGCACCCGTTTATAACTTCACCTCCATTTAATATTATCTAAAGATAGAATGAAACGCTCTAAGTAGTTCACAGAAAGTTCTATCAACATTGTTGGAAGGCAAGAGCTTAAGTTAAGTTTCATCATTAACATTCTTCTTCACATAATCATAGCCTTCATACGATAAAAATATCCCAGAATCTTAGTGTATCATTCCTAAATAAGTACTTAATAAGTAGCTCTCACAAATTATTGGAGTCATGTGAATAATATATGACGCATAATTAGAGTACTGGTATGTAGAGTAGAACAGTTACGTAATGGTAATTGTATTCTCGGTAGAGAGCCTGGTAGGTGTCATCTTGCATCTTACAGCGTCGACTTACACATCTAAATACATGATACACGTTTTTCACATTTTAATTTATTCGAATGTCGTGAGTAGGTACCTAATCCTTTTTGAGAGAGCAACCTCATTTCCATTTCACTTCAAATCATCTGAATGTCAAAGCCAACCAGCTAAATTGTTGATCGACCAAAATCCAAGTAGGTATGTTGCTGGGTCTTTTTATTAAATTACATGTGGAATTGAAAACGAAAAAGAAAATATATTATGAGGGGAATAGATTAGGCATTTGGCGGCGCGCAAGCGGGTGCGGGCGGGCGCTGCCTCGCCGCCGCCGACGACGGGCGACGGGCGCACGCGGGCCGACCATTTATTGAAAGTCGGAGGGCAGCGCGTGAACCCATTAGTCCTCTACACGCCTGAAAAAGTGTCGCTTTCGCTGAAACATTGCGCCGGGGCGCGCTATTCAATTGGCGAATGTATATTTTATTCCGAGCCAATCGATCTCTAGACAACAAAACGCATACCGTGAATGGAGTGTCTCGCGAGGCGATAAATCACCGACGTCTTCGATACGTTTAATGAAAAGATCTTTCTGCTATCGCCCTGTTTTATTACTATTGAACGGCACTTTGTTCGTTTCTTAAGACATCGACGTACATATTACAGCATCTGTAACAGTGGCGATTCCGAGTCGCTGCAACTGTAAAACTTTTGCGTCGAACACACCGCTTGATTTGTAGTTGTGTCTTGTGTTTGAGTTTTAAAGAAAATATAGTTCAGATAATGTAGAAAATCGTGACCCTAAATGACCTGGAAACCAATATAAAATTTTGTCATCTGCTTTTCCGTCATCAGATCGAAATTATACTAACGTAGATAATAAATATCAAATTTAGTTTGTAACAATAAGTAAATTTTTTTGTAAGAAGTTCAAAAGAACTCTATTTTGTTTCAGGACATAATACGGTAACTTGAAAGGATGAGCACTAGCTTAGAAAGCGGTTACCACGTTTCGTAGGTAACTCAATTAGCTTGTGACATAGAGAAGAGTACAATATTGGGACATCCGTTCTAAAATGAAGGAGAATAAAGGGAAGACGCGCAAGAGCCATCGGGAGGCGGTGGTAACATGACGTGTGGGCGCGCCGCTCACTGCGACACCATGGCTGCACAGCTCACCGCCATCATACTGTGGCTCGGAGGAAGTGAGTACCAACCCTAACGTTATTCTGCATAATAAGGTTAGTAGAACACATTCGTATCCGCCCCTACGCATAAGTGGCCGCTACTCATTATACCATAAAATATGAGAGCAACGACACGTCACTGTATATCGTAAAAGATATTTAGATCACTCTATTTCAACGAATATATTTGCTCCATAGCTTCAGTCTATGTTAAGTAAATTAAGACATTCTTTGAAAACACGTTGACAGGATTAAATCCAAAAATTTCCCGAAACAATTTAATCTTGGTTATCGGTCCCGGAGTTTAAAATATTTAACTTTATAATTGAATCAGACAGACTTTAAACGAATTCGCGGAAAGTTTGCTGAGAATTTTAATACACAATACGCGAAATGTTTACATGTCTTTATTTAAATCCACGTCAGTCACCAGCTTCTCACACTTAGAGATAATATTGCGAAGAGAGCGAACATTTAATAATGAATTCTGAACGCGTGTATTGCAGTGAGGACGTGGATTGCGCCTCCCGCCACTAGATATGAAGCAAGCGTAATATGAATCGGATAATACGATTAAATACTTGGCTTATGTCGTCAGTATTGTGTAGTCCTTGCTTATTTTATGTGATGTCGTTTTGTGGAGATGTAATGGAAAGGCTTATTTTTTGGCTTTTTCACAAGTAGGTAAATTGGTGTCAGTGCCGAGCTTGAACTGGTTTTGGCAGGATGTTAGTATTTAATGTGGAGCCAACTCTAACCCGGATTAATGTCTACCGATATATGTTGATTATTATTTTAGTGTAGTCAAATCGTATCCCAATATCATGATTCTTTCGTCACGTCTTCAAATCAAACATTTCCACTTCTGAACTCTATTATTTTAGCATTTTCAACCCTCCGTTGAACCAAAACTAAGAAATTACAATTTACAATCGCACACTGTGATATTATCATCAAGGAAATAGAAACTTATAACTTAAAGTGTTCTCTGACCAAGTTTTGATTACGACGACCAGTGTTATAAGATTAGTGAACCGTTGAGATATTATACGGTTTACCATTCCCAACGTTTCGTTAATTAATATTTGTGTATGTTGATATAATTAAATTTGACAGTGGTCAGGAATGTGCTATTCCCGGGTCCGGAAAACTATTACTGGACTTAAAAAAAATCTCAGTAGTAGCACGGAGTCTGGAAATGTGCCCGGTATATAGCAATAGACTCACCCCCATTACATTTTAATTTAAGAGTAGGGTGGTCAGGACATAGGAGAAGCATTAATTATACATAGACTTAACAAACGTATAACTAGAAGTGACTGCAGGTACATTTCTATTGAATCCTAGATTTGGTCATTCACTTTTACAATCAGAGCTTTGTAAAATATCAGGAAAGTAAACAGCGGAATTGAAAAACGTGTTTTAGAGACAGTACTTGTACATTTTGCAGAAACTATTTCCTTGTGTAGTGCGAAGAATAAACTTACTCCAGGAACAGATTATATCTCAGTGTGCTATGGTTATTTATACACCAGTTGTAGAGTAAATTAAAGTTTTATTGTTGTACAACATTACTAAAATTACTGTGTAAACCAGTAAAAGAAAATAGCTAACTGTGTAGGGAACACAGCTATCTTTATACAGTTTTAGATATTGTACAATTGTACACAATTCACAGTAATTTCTCCAATAAGCCATTGTCACGGCGGTCGTTTGACCTTGACAATACCCACTTTTCTTTTAGCGCCGCTTTTATTACTCAAGCCATTCTTTGGACTTATGAATTTCCTTGTCGTAAATATTATCGCTATTGCCAATACTTTTTCCTTCGCTTCCTTTTATTCTCCCTTTATCCTTTACTGGGATAGTAATCTAATTAAAACCGGACTTTTTATTTCCATGTTCAATTTCGCTACTCGAGATGTTCGCATTAGATATGCAAAATATGATAAAAGTAAATTCATTCATTTCCTTCAATGTTTCCGCATTCATCAAAGTGAGTATATATGCGTTCCGTAAAATCTTTCATCTCCTAACATGGAATAACTGTATTGGGTGATGAATTATTAAAATCACTCGGATACAATCGAGTTTCGAATCCAATCCCTTAAGTAAAGCTGATTATCGGGATTCTCCGAAGACCGGACGATCCTCGAAAAATTCTGGAAAGTGCCAATCTCTCTGGGTATACAAGTTGGGCAAAATTATTGGTTCGGAACAAGCAGCATTCATTTATTATGTTTATAGCGAAGCGGAGCGAGAGGGCCCGCCGGACGACACTAGCGCGTCACTAACGTATCTAACTTTGCTAAACTTTTAGTGAATTATTCACCTTCTTGACATTTATGGCCAACTAAGAGAAATGTATTTGGAAATTAAGTAACCAGATTACGACATGGGCATTGTTGATGAGACGGGAAGTTCCGCCACATAAACCTATTTTTTTGGATTAAATTTATGTAGATAGGGTTGGAATAAGAACTTTATAACTTCACCGCCAACACTTTATTATCATCACAATGAATTTGTTTATTCATGGCTATTGTAAAGAAAATAGGGCGAGTGCTTTTACAAAGAGCCTTCTCTTTATTTTACTTACATGCAGAGCAAAAATAGAGAGACGTTTGTCTAAACAAAACAGGGTGGCGTCGTTTTATTGTTTTGGTGTTGATGCATAATGCGGGTTTTTATGTAGGTATATCATACATTTTTACATACTATATCAAAACAATCAAAGACAATGTAAAATCCTGCCAGTTAAAACATTCATGTTTTGTTAAAATAAATCATTCATGTTTTGTTAAAATAAATTTTGGCATCGGAAACCTTAAAACAATCCGTAAATTATGTAGCTACATAAGCTTTAATCACAAATTCCGCTAGAAAACCTAAGCCTTAAGTATTAATACTATAACTAGTGGATAGTGAGTACACTTTTTTTTTTTTTAGGGGGGAAAATCATCGAATGACTGCTCCCGCCTGGGCGAGGCGGAAGGGAGTGTCAGACTCTTACTGACTAAAAACCACCCCGTTCCTTCTCCTGCACGTCGAGCCGGAGCCCCGGTTACCCGTTAGGTTCTCCGCGACTCCGAATCGGCATCGGCCCTATTGGGCCCCATCTGTGGTGGTCTGATGGCTCTTTGAGGCGCGCGCGGAACGCGACGCGCCGTACGCTCGGGTCTGTTTCTTTACGGTTACGGTGGCCGGAGATCGTCCCGCGATCCCCGACGCCCGGTGTGTCCTTCGCGATGGCTGGGTTGCGAGGAGGCAGCGAAACGCTGCCTCCTCGCAACCCGCCGCGTCCCGCCTCCTCCTTAGCTAGCATGACTGCTTCGCAAAATGAGGAGACGGCATCCCAGTCCCCCTCGCTCCGCATCATGGCCTGCACTAGGCCCGGACGCGAGAGGTCGCCATCGCCGATCACTTCCCTGAGGGCACGGCGGTGCTCAGCCCACGCAGGGCATTCCGCTACGGTGTGTTCCACCGTGTCCTCAGGGCGGTCCTCGCAGTGATAACACCCGGGCGTTTCCTCCCGCCCCATCAGACACAGGTACCTCCCGAAACTTCCATGTCCGGTGAGGACCTGCGTCAGGCGGTAGCCTGACTGTCGAAGGCTTGGCCGCAGCGGCCGCGTACGACCGCGGGACCGCGGGGGCGACCTGACTCGCCGCGAGTGGGGGGCGCAAGAGCCTGCCCTCCAGCACGTCGAAACGTCGCTGGAAGGCAGCCATCTCCGCCCGCAGCAGTCCGACTACGTCGGCCTCCGCCGGGGGCTGGGGGCGACTGCCACGAGCAGCGGAGAGCTCGGCCCTGGCCGTCCGCAGCTCGGCCTCTAGAGCCGCATTGGAGGCCGCCAAGCGCGCCAGCTCTCGCCGCATCTCGGCCAGCTCGGAGCGCACCTTTCCCGAAGTGGGCACCGCACACTGCTCCAAGGCCGCCTCCGTTATAGTGGCCGCCGCCGCCCCGAGGAGGCGGAGCCTAACCGGCTGGGATTTCCCCATCGCCAGCTTGTAGAGCTCCGCCGTAATGGCCTGTTGGAGGCCCCCGGAGCAGCTCTCGCTCTCAGAGCCGCGCTCGCCCTCCGACATCTCCACGCCGGACATCTCGGCCGCAGAGGACTCCGAACGGGCAGCGCTTGAGAGAGCCCTGCCCTCCGCGGCCAGCTGCTCGGCTGACTCCGCGCAGGCAGCTGGTGCCGGTTTCCGGCGACCGCTGCCCTTGCCGCCCCTACCCCGCGCGGCGGCGTGAGCCTTTCGAGCTCACGCTCAGCCGCTCCGCCAATGTTGTGTCGGACTCTGAGTCCGACCCCCTCCGACTAGACTCCCGTGTGTGGGGCCTGCTGGACGAGTCCAGCGCCTCACCACGAGTCCCGGAGCCACTTGGGCTCCCTTCTCCCGCTACCGCAGGCGAGCCAAGCTCACCCGCACTCTCCTCCTCCAAATGTGGTTTTTTTGAAATTTGCTCCATAAAGTTCCCACGAGTATGGGGGAAATATTCGGTCCACCCAGGCAGTGCCCCCTGTACCTGGGTAAGTGAAAATTTGTTTCCCAACTAGAGGGTCCACTGGTCCCCTAGCTGGGGGTGCGCTCGCGACTGACACTACTTCTCAGCCATGCATACTCTCGCCGCGCACCAGAACTTAGTATTGGAGGAATTTTTTATAGAGGTTATCTTCCTCGCGGTCCGGGCGGCCAAGCCAAGACCCTCGTCCCGTTCAGAGTCACAAAACATGACCGTGACCTCTTTACGGATTACGATATCGACGGCTGCAATCGGGGACAGCTTGTGTCCCGATGCTGCTCGCTGGCAGGGTGAGTGCACAACGAGCACTGCCTTTGCCTCTCCGCCACGCTCTCTGCTATGTCCAGAGAGACGGGCGGAGAAACGCCCCTCGGAAGCGCGGGCTATGAGCCTCCGCACACAGCCCGCCGCCTCCAGAACCCTATCGGGTTCGCCCGCCCAGTCCAGAAGTCTGCTGCGGGCGACAGTCGCTCCAACCCTATCACCCCCGCTAGGGAGACTGTCGCCCGCACCCAGGGTGCACCACGGGGAGGTCTTCTGGCACCGCACCCCATAGTGAGTACACTAAGGGTCCGTTTTTCCAACGCCAGTTAAATATGAAAGGAAATAGGATAGGAATATCACTTTGAACATTTGACAATACGGTAGATGTCTAATTTTTATTTTAATGTCCGTCTGGTTTCATTTTGAATCATTAGACACATATTTTTTATTTTCTTACAGAAACGAATACTTTCGACGATATATTGATTTGAAATGTCGCGTGACGTCACTTCTATGTACATTTTATACGTAGAAATGCCCCCACTCCTAACCTTTGATTCGTTTTATCTAAGTATTATACGACAAAATAAAAAATACGTATCTAATATTTTTTCATTACCTTACTTACGGACTAATTATACTTTTAATTTTCATACCCTGTCATTATCCCAATTCTTCCATAATAGAAAATGTCAAATGTCAAATTTATTCTACAGTTAAGGATTGTCCGTTAGTTGTAAAACCAGTCTTTATTATGTAAGTATACCACAGTGATATCAGGACTCCAGTTAATATTAAAATAAGCTTTCAACAGGCATAAAATTATAAGTAATACAAAAGTTAGTTCGATGTGATAAATTAATTATTACCTCTATTATACAGTTTAAGTAACACGTAGGTGCAATACAAAAATAAACATACGACTTTATTAAAAATTAAAAAAATATTAATTTGAAACGTTCTCCGTAAAAATATTTCAATATTTACATCGCTCCACGTACGCGCAAATACTTATTTTAGATTTGTGAACCAACAAGCACAGTTTAACACACTCCAGTAAATCGAAAATTAAGCCCTTGTTTACCGCAGAAACGTACGGGAACCAAACACTTAAACATACATTTTATTCTTATTTAAACAGAGGGCAACGTTGAAATAAATACGTTTCAAATAAATATTAAACTCGCACCGAGATGAAATATTATGATGTGGCTGCTACCGTAAATTGAATTTGGTTACATTGTAATGAGTTCATGTCGACGGGAATTGTGTATTCGCTTGATCTTGAATTCGATCACGTAGCGTTCACTTGATTTATGTATTCCGACCACCTTTACTATAGCTGAAGGCCAAGATTTGATTACTTACGTCGAGCTGAAATTCTGCTCAGCGAACCGCTAACGGATCGACCGCAAACTTACCTACTTATAAGAAACAGGGACCGTGGAAATAAAATTGCTTTAAGGTGCACGTTTCACAAATAAATGGTTCCTTTCGTGCTGCAATTAATGACGTCGAGAAGGGTGAAATAAGGCTAGCTTCAAGCCTTTTTCTCAGCGCCTCTGTGTTTCCCACGTACTTCTTGAAATTAGTTTACTTTTGTAAAATACGAGTGTGTACAATGAACAAAATGTTATACGGAACCGTTCACAAGGGTTTGGTATTTAAGGTTTTATTCAAATTGACGATATAACAATAATTGCTGATCATCGTACCATAACGAGTAGCGATGCTATTAATAAAATTATGTGCATGCCAATATTGGCGTGCGTGATTTCATCTGTTGAAGCTGCGGTTCGATAATAAGTACTTTTGAATTGGGAATAATAAATAATAAATATGCAAAGGTTCATGTATCGACTATTTATAATTTATAGTTTTAAAGAGTACCTACACGTGGAAAGCAATGACCTCATTCCTTGTTGATAACAGAATATTGTCACTGAAAAAGTTATCAAAGCTGACCATACGATTCATCCCGCATCTAACCATCCACTTACAGCTTTAACGGAGACTATGTTCGGGACTACACACTGATACCGCGCAGTATTATCGCTGGACGAAATACACGTGTGATCGTTATCCTACGTCAAACTGCGGTGGCTTTGATCGTTAAACTGCGACCTCTATAAGCTTGAGAGGTAAAAATAGTGGTGCGATGCATGACACGGTCGTTTAGATAGTATTTATCGATACTTAAGTAGCGTGCTACTTTTCTGAAATGTTACTCTTAAACTGTGGTTTAGGTATTAAAATAATATTGTTAAGTTTAGTATTGTTTGGATTTACTGAAGTTTTAAATGGTATGGCATGGTTAACTTTATTGGAAACGTAAACACGTTTTATTTCGTCATATTGTTAGATATTACCTGAGTTCTATTATTTACTAAAATAAGATCCAATTTTAAGTTACTGTTAGCGCAATGGCTGATCGACCGATGCTGCTTCACATGTCACGGGGTCGATTCTAAATGTTCTCTACGTGATCTACAAATTATTATTTCGCGACTTATTAAACAGAGAAAACTTTCATGAAAATTAAAAGACAATCTAAAACATCATAATAACGACATTATGACTAATATTATCTCATTATATTTCCCCATTACATTTACAACAATAAAAACAACTACATACTCGTACATAATGTTGTTCTACATAATACTCAGGTAAACAAAACTATTTTATGTGACCACACACTTGTTAGCCGAACAAGTTTAATTAATGGCATTTGTTCCACAGATAAATCAATGAATATATAAACAAAAGATAATTTGAATAACAATAGGATATTTGGTATCACATTGACCAAACTTCCAATCCTAATCGTGATAATTGCATTATTGTTAGGCGCTCCTGGGAAATCCAGTTGGGATATAAATTACGTCCCTATTACTAAGACAAATATTTGAACATGTTCAATTAATAAGGCTTAACATGAATATTAGAACTGTGATCTAGGAATTCTAAATTTAGATGTCTGATGTTCTGTTTAATATAATGTGCTTCAAAAATGTACTGTTAATTGTATTAGGATATTGTTAAAAAACCTTATGTAATTATTTACTTTATTTGCTTACTTGACTACTAATTTACTAATTTAATAAAAGGTTTAAAAAAATTATAATATATTTAGTATTGTAGGTTGTCAGTTCGCCCACCTAACGACCTCAAGGATGATGGCGGCACAGTGGTCACGTGCCGCCGTGCAGTGCACAGAGAGGCTCTAGGAGAGACACATAGGTCTCCATAGGGAGGTGTCGTAACAGGCGTTGCACTGTGGGGGCTCCGGAGTTGGTCTACTAAGAGGACCCGGTGCCCCCTTCAAGTGCGGATGGTGGCCACCGGGGAGGTTTTAGTGAAGTAAAAATCCTACACTCCCCAGTCTTTTTCCCCAAAAAGCTAGGCGCCTTTGGAAGGTTTCCCCCCGTCAACAAAAAAAATCGGTCGTCAGTTCGAAATTTTAAAATAATTCATTATTAGTTCAATTTTCTAGACCAACCATAATATTAATACTGACATTTGTGAACAGGCGTGTTAGCTCTGCGCGACATCCAGCTGAGCGTGCCAGAGGCGGTGGGCGTGGGCTCGAGTGCAACGCTGGGCTGCCGGTGGGCGCTGGACGTCGGCGAGACGCTTTACACCGTCAAGTGGTACCACGGAGCCCAGGAGTTCTTCCGCTTCGTACCTAAGGAGCTGCCGAACACGAGGGTCTTTTCACAAACCGGCATTAGTGTTGATGTAAGTAAAAATCATTCTTTTTTAAAACGAGTTTTCAACATTTAAAACAATTTGATGCGTGTCAGGTGAAATTTTAATATCAACCAATTCATCGATCAACGATGACATGGTGACATTGGACTTACCATTTAAAACGACGAACGAATCAAATATTAAACGCTATGCTCAGCGTATCAGTCCAATAGAAGACTCGACTTTATTCCTAATATCCCCGAATCGGATGAATGCAAATTGAATTTAATTAATCAATCACATTGCCTGGATCGAGTCAAATTACAGCTCAAACGGATTACCAAATCGAACAAAGAGAAGAAGATTAAAGACACCGCTCTGTGCGATGACAAAATGCTGGGCCTAACAGTTAAGTGCAGCTTATTTAGACAAAATTACGAATGCATAATCCAGTTAAAATGATCACGAGATTTAAAATAGTTAACATAAATGCAATAACCTTTGAATTAAATCTATAAAACAGGAACAGGAGAGACAATAACTTTACCTTACGGAGAAACTATAAACAACGTCATAACCGTGATTATATATGGGTCAATGGCTCTGCGACATCTTGCTAGTTCGTTAAACTGCTTCATAAAGAGGGTTGAAAAAATCACTTAAGAATCTCGTAGAGCGGCCGCCACGTTAAACCTTTAGCGGCTGGCACGTCGCCATATCCGAACTATAACATTGTGCCAAAATAATACATTAAAAACCCTTTCACAGAATAATGTATACTCGGAGTTTGCATCGAGTTTCCATCGGGTATACGTCTTAACACTTGCGGCTCTGAACGCCACGCAGCCCTTCAAAATCGGGTCAGACGACTCTTAAGCGTGAGACGGGCATGATTTAGTTCGGCGGTTTCTCAAAGTGGACTTTCAGAAAGATGGATCGAAGCTTTTAGCTCTATTTGAGTTACTAGCAGCTGCGTACGGCAAAGTGCACACAACTCCTTGTAATACCATTACGCTGAATCACGTATAAATTACGCATGAGCACATTCCAGCGAGCACCACCTGAAATCAATGATACATTGCCTCGGCCAAACTTTACCGTACGAACCGATCCTGTTCAAGAGGACCACATTGCGAACGCGTTAGGGTGTATTTTGCTAGCACTGTTTATGAACATAAAATATTATGCGGTCTCTATAATCCTTATCATAAAAGATGGCTTCAGTATAAAAGCACACCTGCTTACGTATTAATGTAGGTTCCTGTATGTCCTCTGTTTAATCTTTATTACATTATTTACAAGTTTGCCAGTGTATTTATTTCAAAAACAAGAGAAGACTAATAAGATTCCATTGAAGAGTTTGTGCTTGTTTAAAAGCTTCCTAAAATAAGGAAATCGAAGTCCTGAAACTTTGTTAAGAGAGTGAAGTATCACAGGTTTATAAAACATTTTCCGCGACACAACACCCTCATCGTGAGCTTATTTGAAAACATCATATTCGTATCAGCGAGCGCTCACCTTTATTTTACCATATTCTTACATCAGCGCTTACAAAGAGCGAAAACAGATTTTTGAATAATTATATTATTATTTCAGCACAAGAATTTACTGAATATCTAACATACATACATCATCAACAGCCTATAAATGCCCACTGCTGAGCAAAGCCTCTTCTCACACGGAGAAGGTTAGAGCATTAATCACCACGCTTGCTCAATGCGGGTTGGCGATTTCAAACTTATAATTAGAAATTATAAGTCCAGGTTTCCTCACGATGTTTTTCCTTCACCGTTTGTCAGTGGTGTCTAAATAATGTTAGAAAGTACATATAACTCGAAAAAAGTCACATTGGTACTTGCCGTTGGTAGGTTTCGAACCCGCACCCTCATGCATGAGAAGTGGTCGTCTTAAACCTCCGGGCCACCACGACAGTTCTGAATATCTAACGCTAGAGTTAATTTTATTATTAAAATAAAAATCGTATAAAATTCCGTTTGTGAACGAATTTAAAAAAGAAGTCTGTTTTTAAAGTAAACATAATGCCATTAATTGTGTTTTGAGAAGCTTGTAAAGTGAGTTTATTATTAAAATATTCTCTTTTATCTTGTTCAGGTGTCACGTTCAGGCGCGCAGCAGGTGGTGTTGCGGGGCGTGTCGCGGGGCCTCAGCGGCCGCTACCGCTGCGAGGTGTCCGCCGACGCGCCCTTCTTTCACACCGTCTACAAGAGTGCAAACATGAGAGTTGTTGGTAAGTAAACATTTGTTATGACACTACATGTAATATCATCTGATTAACCTGGTATTCTTTAAACGTAGCACGTCTTATGTTTGTTACGAACACGTAGCAGACGTAGCAACAACTACAACATAGCTACAATGCGTTTGATACTTCAGCAATAACAAATGCTTATATAATACCGCGTCAAGTTAATTTAGTAGCAAAAATCTACCTGTAAATGCTTCAGTGGATCGGTTACTGGTTTAGGAAAACAGCTAAAATATAAAGTAAACAGGAGTGTACTAAGGGTATAACATGTAATATAAACATAACACTGGTAGGTGGAACGGGAAAGGGTGAGCAAATTTATATCGTAAAATTCAGGTAAATCTTTCAATTTAACGAGGGTTTCGATAAATATTTCTTACTTATGAGCTCAAATTCTAATTGGGAAATTTGGGTCTACATCACCCGACATATGCGTAGGCTTTAGTGTGATTACTAGAGTTTACATTTCACGACGTCACGGCTGATAATCCTTAAATGAGTGGAGAAAAACGAGTATATTTTTTACATTAAATTAATCTAAAAAACCTAATTTTAAGTGTGAGAGAGGAGAGAGGTTCGGCACGAATGGGCCGGCTCGACCAGAGTGATGCCACGGCCTCACAGAAAACCAAAGTGAAACAACGCTTGTGTTGTGTTTCGTCGTGTGAGTGAGGTTACCGGAGGCCCAATTGTATCTCATTCGCACTTGCAACGCCTCTGGTGTTCCAGGTGTCTATGGGTGACGCCGATTGCTTACCATCAGATGATTCGTCTGCTCGGCTTATACCATACCGGCGTCTATCATAAAAAAGCTATATCTTTATATATAAAAGAAAGTCGTGTTAGTTACACCACTTATAACTCAAGAACGGCAGAATAGATTTGGCTGAAAATTGGTAGGGAGGTAGCTTAGAGCCAGGAGACCGACATAGAATACTTTTTTTACTTTTTACCGAAAATTACGAACGGGGACGGGAAAAAATGGGACTACGCGTACGTAGTCGCGGTCAGAAGCTAGTATTATATAATTTGACTCTAACAGTAAAGCAGGTACGCTTATTTTATTCGCATTCGACTGTCATGTTTTGAAACAACCAGATAAGTAGTTTATTTCAATTCATAGTTAAAGACAACGTACTTGAGAACCTTATCTTTTTAAGTACACTCAAATATGAAAGGATAGCCAGAAAAGAAACCCGATTACTGTTTATTTGAAAAGCCTTTTTGATAACAAAACGAAGTCTACGTATAACGTTTAAGTGATATAGTTGATCCTTTTGAAAATATTACAATCATCCATACAATCAATAATTGAGTCCATTTTTTCTCTCTTTCTTGTTTTAAACTGTCAAACACCAAGCGGTCACCGGTGACCGCGACCTATTGTTCTTTAATTGTGTCTATAAAACCGGTACTCGACGAGTTAAACCTTTATATTGTTATTTTGTCAAAGTCTAGGTATATTCTTTTTTTTATTCCTGCCATTCATGCCATATGCTGAAAAACACTTTTTCATTTCATTTCACAAAGCAAAATGTACTGAAGTAGAACTAATAAATATTATTATATTTATGTACTCGGTCAATTTATTTTAGTCATAGTATAGTGACATTCAAATTAGAATGAAAAGCTTTTGACAGAGAATTTTAAATCGAGTTTGCAGTCAGTGTTGTGGCTATATATAATTTAATTTATTACAGCAACCACATACGCGAATATTCCCTGGAAGCCGGTGATTGAATGTTCACATTTTTTATTTTTATTGATAAATTGAAACTGGACCTGTACTGTACTCGAACATTGATTTTTGTTAAAACTAGAGAGAGTACTTATTTTTTAAATCAATTTATATCTGATACTGACATGAAATAAATATAAAATGTTAACTACAGATAAAAATACACAATATTTTGTCTAGGAAAACGAATTCAACTATTTATTTAACATTTGGGAGACCAACAGCTAGGTATACAATTTGATAAAAAAAGAATGTAGTACAACGTACAACCAGAAGCTAGATTTCCATAATTTTCCTAAGTTTTTTTGAGAATATACATAATTGAGAAAAGAGAAAAGAGCGTATTCCTTTTTAAAAGGCCGGCAACGCACCTGTGACTCCTCTGGTGTTGCGAGTGTCCATTGGAGGCGCTGATCGCTTACCATCATCTGATGGATGAGCAGACGGATCATCTGATCCGTCTGCTCATTTGACTCCTATTCCATAAAAAAAATTGATACGCATGACTTTCGTTAGACTTTTTTTTAAGGTGGGAAAATCATCGAATGCCTTCTCCCGCCTGGGTGAGGCGGAAGATTTTAGTCAGTAAGAGTCTAACAGACTTTTACTAACTAAAAACCTCTTCGTTCCTACTCCTGCACTTCGAGCTGGAGCCCCGGTAACCCGTTAAGTTCTCCGCGGCTCCGAATCGGCAGTTCCCTCATTGTTTCTCATCAGAAAGTTTAAATTACATACATGATATTTACTTCTCATTACTCAATACCTTCTTAATTTGAATATTGTGAGTTAAGAAAGCCATAACCAATTTGTGATGCCCTTGATCAAGCTTGTTTTGATTGGCTCAGATAAAAATAGACCACACCAATACTAAAATTATATAATAATATTATTTTGGATTTCTTCAATATTAAATTAAGATACGGTAAATATGAAAGCGGTAAATGGTAGAGACAATCAGTGACTATTCTGAGTGTCAAGTTTGATATCTTTTTTTTGAGGGGAAGAAAAGGGATATCATCCAATGACTTCTCCCGCCCGGGTGAAGCGAGAGGGAGTGCCAGACTTACTGATAAAAACTGTGTTTAAAAAAACCGACATCGAAAACCAAAACCTAAAATCAAGCAAAAGGTAAAAACTAAAAAGCAAAAATATATAATTATTACTCAAACGTACTTATAGGTTACCCACCCACTGATAGGTAAGAAGTGAAGAATAGTAGACCCTGAGGAATTTTCGAACCACTGTTGAACCTCACAGTACTTTGCCCGACTCGGCAACCTTTTGCTACGACCTACGAGGTTGTCATGAAAACGTTGGTAACTATGAATCTACGTGAAGTATTGACACAATAACCTTTAATATACTAACGATACATTGTCTATTATTATTTCTCCACAAAATACATAAATTGGTTGTAAGTACAAGAAGGAAATTCTTATGTAATCAAAATTACTTATGTTACTGTTGTATTTTCTATAGCGTTACTTGTATTTTTATGTTGGAAAAGAATAATATTTTCCATCATCCCGCCTTTTATCCCCGAAGAGGTAGGCAGAGGTGCACATTATGGCACCTAATGCCACTGGTCAATGTAACACTCATTTTTCACATTTATGTTATGAGTCCCATGTTATAGGGGGTGAGCCTATTGACATTTATAACGGGCACAATTCCAAGCTCCGTGTCACGACTACAGAGTTTTTTTTAAAAACCCAGTAAAACTTTGCCCGACCCGGGAATCGAACCCGAGACCTCTTGCCCGGCAGTCGCGCTTCCGACCACTCGGCCAACGAGGCAGTCCTTATCAATAATATTTTATTTGATAAAGAATCACTTTCAAATATTGTTTAATCATAAAAATGACCATATTTTTAAAAATTAATTATTGGTAATTAACCACTGTTAAAACTATCAATATAAACAGAAAGTCGTCTACAGCGACACCATAGGTATTCCCCAATGATTTTCAGATTAGTTGATAGAGATACGAGTACACCTAATTACATACTTTTAAATAAAACACATGTCTGTTTTCACCATCTCTCAAATTTAAAAAAATCGCTGAGCTAAGATATGTGTAATACATAATGGTAAAAGTAAGAGCCTAATTCAGGTTCTTCCTCATGTTAAGTAACTCTTAGTCAAGATAATCTTGTTTAGGAGTGGTTGATAAAAACAGCCATTGAACAAGTTCGATGCTCTTTTATTATTATATGCTATAATAACAAGTTATAGCACATTTCAATGGCTCATGCTATGCAGTCAACCATTTTGATTATTCCCAACCACGTCAAAAGACGCTAAAGCTTTATACACTGCATAATTTTACTTCGGTCATAACTTCTTGAATAGTTATTATTTAAATCTGCAGTGAACAGTGATTACTTCTGTTTTCTTTAAATATTTTAGGCGCTTAGAATATATCAAGTAGAAACTTATTGCACTAAATATATAAGAAATATAACTACCCAATCGCAGTACAGACCATATTGAAAACAGAGATAGGTACATTATATTTGATGGTTTTATACATAAATGAGGTTTTATACAAAGACACATAATATTAAGCAATACGAATCGAAATGAATCAGAAAGGATGCGAGAAATTTTACCAAATGTACTACTAGTCACGTTTGGCCTACTCTAGGCGTACAGTCTGTATTGCCATCTCACATGGCAATTCTGGCAACCACACATAGACACGTTTTAAGTAAAAAATCTTGTTTTGTTTGATAAATCTTCGTTGTAATAAAATATTGTAGTATAAATCAGTTACTATCTGTATGTTAGTCTCAGTAAAACAATAAAATATAAAGAATAACTAAGCTGCATGCATGCATACAGAATAAATAATGCTGCAATCGACAGGTATTGAATATCACAGAGTATCTTAGTTCATTTTACACTAGCATAAATAAAGCAAACAATCCCGGCGCGGCTTCGTGCAATCCTAAATCGTAAATCAGAACTATTGTTGGGCAATAAATGCGAGGAATCGAACACAAGGGATATTTGATTAAGGTTTATCTTGGTTAATTTACGGTTATTGAGGAGGCTCGTTGTACTCGAATGTGTATCTGTCTGAACCTACAAAGATGAATCCCGAACGCTCGTTACTCTTATATGACTTTCTAGTTTTCGGTCGACTGTATTGTGACATTCGAATTATGGTATTCAACTTTGGCAGATGTTAAACAAGAATAACATTTTCTCATAAACTATAGCTTTGTACTGAAAGTACCAT